TGGCCTACAGTTGTGTATGGCTGTGTAACCAGGAATGGCATAGACATCTGTAGTATCAGGCTTTAGCCAGGTTTCAGTTAGTGTAATGATGGACATATTGGCATGCAAGGAATTTAGTAATGCTAGGAGGTCATTGTAATGCTTGCTTAAAGATCTGATATTGTAGTTAAAGATAGTTATGTTGTTGTTGGCTCTGAGAAGTGCCTTTGATTGTTCTGCTGTGTAGTAATTACAGTAACTGTTTGAATCATTTAAGTCATTAAATAAGAGGTTGGTATCAGGATCAATGGTTGTAATCATAAGATTTGTAGTGAATCTATAGTTAGAATTAAGTATAAAACAAAGTAAATATTCTAAAGCTAAAAAAAAAGCAACTGAATTATTTAACAAATGTAAAAATAATGAGCTAAGGTAGTTTTTTGAAGCTAAAATAAAGGAGACAATATAAAAGGGACTAAAATAATTTGTGGTGAACAAATAAAGTGATGATCAAATAATGGAGCTTGGGAATATGATAGCAGGTAGTACTTTAAAGGTAATTCTTTAAAGTTAGAATTATAATATAAAATTATAATATAAAAGGGACTAATATAAGTTGTGGTGAACAATAAAGTGGTAATCAAATAATTGCACTAAGGTCTAATATAATGACTTTTGTGGAGTCTATGTTTTGAGCTAGAATGAGCTATAGTACAACTAGATTTAATCTAATAATATAACAATACAAATTAAAAATAGCACCGGTCTCTCACTAGTAATTGCAATATGGTCTAATATAATGAATTTGGTATTGACTATAGTACAACTGAGTTTAATCTAATAATATAAAAATACAAATTAAAAATAGCACCAGTCTCTCACTAGTAATTGCAATATGGTCTAATATAATGAATTTGGTATTGACTGTAGTACAACTGAGTTTAATCTAATAATATAAAAAAGGCACAAGACTCTCAATTGTAATTGCACTAAGGTGTTATATAAGTTGTTTACAAGAATTAGAGTATAACTAGATTTAAATTGACAAGATAAAATATACAAGTTAAGGTAGCAAAAGAATAAAAAAAGTAGAAAAAAAAATATATGAGGTAGTTGGTACTAGTTAGCAAAAGATAGTTAAGGGCCTTGAACAATAATATAATTGAAATATACACTAATTGCGCACACAATATAGTCACTAGTTGCAGGCAATTTCTTTACCAAATCGTCATGCAACTGCCTAGCCTTTTCACAAATGATCACTTGAGAGATGCTATCTCCTGCTATCTGTTTTTCATTTATCCACACCAATAACAGTCTCTCAACATCTTCTAACACTTGCGGTCACTGTTTCGTAATCACAGTTGCACCTTTTGCAAGAACAGCTTCCTTGATTGCTGTTTTCCTGGTCACTATAGTAGAGATGGTTGATTGGGGTTTACTATACAACCTGGCCAGCTCCGACACAAGCACTCCACTTTCATACTTTGCAATTATCTCTCTCTTCATTTCAATAGTCATCAGCACCTTTTTTCTCGAAGGGTTGGCACTAAAAGCTTTCTTGGGGCCCATGGTGACTTATTTTGCAGAAACAAGCACCAAAAACAGCGATAATATGGAATGTATCGAATGTATCCTTAGATGCGCGCACACTGCCTGACTTGTAAACACTGGCACACACAGGGCAGTTCAGGCCACACATGGACATGTCTCGTACGAATTACATCGAATATCGGGTTTTCGATCAGATACCGAGGCGAAATTTTTGAATTAAAATGCATCGAATACCGGATTTATCGGATTCCGATGCCATCGAATACCGGGGGTCCACTGTACTAGTAATCCTAAAATCTAGTGCCTTCAAATCTAGTAAGAGAAAGCTGGTAGGCCTACATATGAAAGAATGGGTCTATGTGGTCAGTGTGCAAAGTATAAAAAAAATCCTGCAGCACACAGTGCACAATGGGAAAAAGAAAACTCCAACCATGTTTTTGGTTTAAAACAGCGACTCTGCAGTGTATTTTCGTATGCTATTTATTGTTGTATTCTAGTTTTCCTGGTCTTGTTTTATAGAATGGAAGACATATTGCAGAAATTGAGATGATTTTGATTGGTTTCATAAAGAAAAGTACCTTGAAATTGAGCTCAAAATAGCAGAAATGTTCGATTTTTGACAAAGTTCAATACACGGCCCATACACGTCAACTGGTGAGTCTAATATTCTTTCACAAGTGTGCTGATATTATTTATACCATTTCTACACCATTTCTACACTAATGCAGTAGTCTGCATAACAGTAAATCTTCTATTTTTTTGTGAGAATAAAAATTCAAAGTGGAAAGCAAAAGAGATGTAAGAGGGGCCTGGGGACGTGACTAATGAACAGAGAAAATGTTATTTTAGTGCCAGGAATGTCTGTCTTATTTATTCTGAACCCTATTTGGAAATTGGCATCTGAAATTTGTGTGAAATTGGCAAAATTGCCAAATTCTGACCACTTTATTGGATAGTTGAAATCAGTAAATGGGTGGTTTCTTGTACTCATTAGATAGAAAAAAATGGATTTCTAGTGAAATAGATATGATTTTCGTCGACTAGTACACTGGAATTGGCTGAAAATATGGCTCAAATTGGGTGAAATCGCCAATGTGTAAACATTGTCGAGACCGCTAACTTTGCGAGAGCATAATTCCGTAAGTTTTCCATCAAATTTCATACTGTTTGTGTCATTACTAACGGGAAAAGATTCTCTATCATTTCATAAAAAATAATTTTTTTTTTTCCAAAAAAATTTCGACCCTGAGAACGAGTTTAGGAGAGGGCCTCTCGACCCTGAAAGGGTTAAACTGTCCAAACGTAGATCTATAATTTCACTGCTAGAGCTCCAAGCGTAGATCAACGTTTTATTTTTCCTGCCTCCATATTTGACACGAGTGGCCTGAGATGCCCAGTCAGTATAGAATGGGTCTTAACACTCATCATGAGCAGTATTAAAAAAATCTGGGTCCACTTAGTACCTTGTGAGAGCACCAGTTCAACTGAGCACCAGCTAGAGCAAACAGCATGGCAAATACCTAGGATTCACTAATATCATGTCGTATTAACAATCCCCTTTTAAGAGAAAAGTGATGATGACCCAGAATTTTGTGGCTTTGAGATAGATGTGGTTGAGGAAATATCAAAAACCTTAGTAATAACTCATGTGCAACATCTGTGCCACATTCTTTGAATTTTGATACCACTGGTAGTGTCATCCTGCCAGAATGTCCCATATCCTATGCTTTAACTAAAGAGAAAGGATTCTGGAATGTGTAATACGTGTTCAGCAGGCCGGCGGGGTGGGTGGCTGATTGACTTTGGCTGTTTCTATCTCCATCTGTCTGTATCTCTCTCTCTCTATCTCACAGGTACACATAAGTACAGTTATCATTCATAGTGTATATTACCTAGGATAATGCAAAAAAAAAATTCAGACAAAGTGCTATACTGTGCTTGTAGATGTAAGGCATAATAAGCATGACTGGTAAGTAATATGCATTTCTGCTTGTTCAGGAATCAGATGTGACGACTCTGCATCATGTGTAATACCCATTGGTTCGTGAATGGCTCTCTGAGATAGAAAGAGAGAAAGGAAGACAGAGACACAGGCAGATAAGCAGAGACAGAGCGAGACAGACAGATAGATAGACAGACATGCTCACGTGTAACAGTGAAAACAAAGAGAGCCAAGGCAGTGCATGATCATCAAATGTCACTCCACTGCTGCACTGTCAGCAGTGGAGTGACACTCATCTTGCACTGTGCTTCAAGGAGTTCCTTATACTCCAGCATGTCTAAAACATTGCTGGGACCTATAAACACTGTATATAATTCTAGACAATAGTATGTGACCAATTTAGGTAGTAGGTTGGTAGACAGCAACCGCCCAGGGAGGTACTACCGTCCTGTCAAGTGAGTGTAAAATGAAAGCCTGTAATTGTTTTACATGATGGTAGGATTGCTGGTGTCCTTTTTTCTGTTTCATAAACATGCAAGATTTCAGGTACGTCTTACTACTTCTACTTACACTTAGGTCACACTGCACATACATGTACAAGCATATATATACATACCCCTCAGGGTTTTCTTCTATTTTCTTCCTAGTTCTTGTTCTTGTCTATTTCCTCTTATCTCCATGGGGAAGTGGATCAGAATTCTTCCTCCGTAAGCCATGCGTGTTGTAAGAGGCGACTAAAATGCCAGGAGCAAGGGCCTAGTAACCCCTTCTCCTGTATATATTACTAAATGTAAAAGGAGAAACTTTCGTTTTTCCTTTTGGGCCACCCCGCCTCGGTGGGATACGGCCAATGTGTTGAAAGAAACAAGTATGTGACCAAGACAGGTTAAAATGTTCTCCTGTCACGTGTGTCTGTGACTATTTGATTACTATTTCAGTACCTAATACAGTGGACCCCCGGTTAACGATATTTTTTCACTCCAGAAGTATGTTCAGGTGCCAGTACTGACCGAATTTGTTCCCATAAGAAATATTGTGAAGTAGATTAGTCCATTTCAGACCCCCAAACATACACATACAAACGCACTTACATAAATACACTTACATAATTGGTCACATTCGGAGGTAATCGTTATGCGGGGGTCCACTGTATTAGTGTCAAAACAAAGATTAGCTATAAAATCACAAGAACTACTATAAATTGTAATTATCAAACATAAAAATTATATATATTAAAATAAAAACAAGAATAAAAGGTATTTAGGCAACACTTCTGCAAGCTACAGGACTCAATGTTGCCATCAGGTGAGCATCCAGTGCCAACTTCATGGCCTTATATCTTGGTAGGTACTGACCCTAAAATTTTTACACACGGAAAACTGCCCTCTTTAATTAAAAAAAAATTCAAAATATTCAGAGTGCTAGCAGTGAAAACGTAGATCTACGTTTGGACAGTTTGAGGGTTAAGCTATTATTTGTTGTTCTTCAAAGCAAGCATCAACATCACAGAGTAAAGGTTACTTACAACATGCCACTGCAACACACACTGAGAGCGCAGCAGTTGTGTAGGGTCAGCACGTAAAGGCTTTTTTCCTGCTATCCGAGCAGAAAACGGAGCATACATAAAAAACAAGGAACGAATAACTGCTGCTCTCAGGCCTTCGGTGTAATCCATGTTCCAGTCTGCAAGTTGTGTTGGTAGCTCAGGCACCCAGGTGTAATGTCTGCAAACACAATGTTCAACTGGTATAAGCACTGCTTGTTTTTTATTTAACACGTCATCCATCTCCCACCAAGGCAGGTGACCCAAAAAGAAGGAAAACCTCGCAAAGAAAGAAAAATCTTTCATCATCATTCAACACTTTCACCATCACTCATTCATAATTACTGTCTTTGCAGAGGTGCTCAGATATGAAAGCTTAGACGTTCCTCCAGACTGCCAATACCCCAAACCCCTCCTTGAAAGTGCAGGCATTGTACTTCCCATTTCCAGGACTCAAGTCCAGCTAACCAGTATTACCCTGCTCATACTCCAACAGCTCATCAAGTCCAAAAAACCATTCATCTCCATTCACTCCTATCTCACACAAACACACATGCTTGTTGGAAGTTCCAGTCCCTCCCCTACAAAATCTCCTTTACCCCCTCCCTCCAACCTTTTTAAGGATGACCCCTACCCTGCCTTCCTTTCCCTACAGATTTATATGCTCTCCAAGTCATTCTACTTTGTTCCATTCTCTCTAAATGACCAAACCACTTCAATAACCCCTCTTCAGCCCTCTGACTATTATGTACATTTTTTTTGTTTTAACTCACCGGCCATCTCCCACCAAGACAACATAACTTAAAAAAAGAAGAAATTCTTTCATAAAGTTTTTCTTCCTCTTATATTTAGTAGTTTATACAGGAGGAGTTACTAGCCCCTTACTCCCGGCATTTTAGTCGCCTCTTACAACATGCATAGCTTACATCGGAAGGAGTCTTCACCACTTCCCCATAGAGATGTGTACACATTTTTTTTTTCAACAAACTGGCCATATCCCACCAAGGTAAGGTGACCTAAAAAGAAAAACAAAAGGTTTTCTTTATAAATTTAGTTATGTATACAGGAGAAGGGGTTACAAGCCCCTTGCTCCCGGCATTTTAGTGTCCTCTTATGACACGCACGACTTACGGAGGAAGAATTCTGTTCTACTTCCCCATGAAGATAAGAGGAAATAAACAAGAACAAGAACTAGTAAGAAAATAGAAGAAAACCCAGAGGGATGTGTATATATAAGCTTGTACATGCATATGTAGTGTGACCTAAGTATAAATAGAAGTAGCAAGATGTACCTGAAATCTTGCATGTTTATGAGACGGAAAGACACCAGCAATCTTACCTTTATGTAAAACAATTACAGGCTTTCATTTTACATTCACTTGGCAGGACGGTAGTACCTTCCTGGGTGGTTGTTGTCGACCAACCTACTACCTAGTACGTACATATATAACCTACGAAAATACACTTCCCCTCGCTCACAAACACAGGCATAGAATAGTGCCCCAAAACTTATATTTCCACTCTATAATCAATGTTTATTCTTGCATGTTTACACAACTAATACTTCACTTTTCCTATATTTACCCATACATTACATAACCTGTGCCTGGGGATTCACTTCAACAATCCATCTCAAACCAATCATCACTCAACAAAAGGCAGCTGTCAGAAACACCCCACACTCTTATAAAAATAATACATATTATAATAATAATAATAATCTTTATTTCTACAAGTTTGGAGGGATATGTTGTGTATCTTTATACGTATATGCTTCTAAACTGTTGTGTTCTGAGCACCTCTGCAAAAACAGTGATTGTGTGTGAGTGTGGTGAAAGTGTTGAATGATGATGAAAGTATTTTCTTTTTGGGGATTTTCTTTCTTTTTTGGGTCACCCTGCCTCGGTGGGTCACCCTGCCTCAGTGGGTCACCCTGCCTCGGTGGGAGACGGCCAACTTGTTGAAAAAAAAAAAAATTCTACAAGTGTCCAAGATACAACTTACACAGCCATAGCTGACATAAATGACAAGGTATACGGAAAGCAACTTAGGTTGATTTTGTCCCCAGAATACAACCCACACCTATTGACTAACACTCGGATACGTTCTTACTGCCAGATGAACAGTGCCAACAACAGGTATCTTTAGTAGTTGTAGTCTTAGTTTAAGTCTGTCAGAAATGGTGTGCAATGCACACCATTTTGTAATCATAATTATTATAATTGTTATTATTATTATTGTTATTGAGATAAGTTCCACCAAGATCAATCTGGTAAAGCAGCATCATGTAATGTCTGGTGTTCCTCCTCCTCTGGGGGGTGGGGGCTGCAAACTGCTGCCTGGGGCAGCATGAACTACACTGAAGACTTGTGTTGTGCTAGGAATGCAAGGAATAAAAATGGGCCTATGCCAGACAGCCATCCCAGAAAAGTTCTGACTTGATTGATTTCTAGAACATCAGTGCAATCAGTAGGACCTGGATGCTCAGTCCATGATTAGCTATGTAGTGTTAACACCATACAGTTATGGTATAATTTTATACAATAAGTTCATGAATAAAAGGTAGTAGGTTGGTAGACAGCAACTGCCCAGGGAGGTACTACCGTCCTGCCAAGTGAGTGTAAAATGGAAGCTTGTAATTGTTTTACATGATGGTAGGATTGCTAGTGTCTTTTTTTCTGTCTCATAAACATGCAAGATTTCAGGTACGTCTTGCTACTTCTACTTACACTTAGGTCACACTACACTTGCATGTACAAGTGCATATATGCACCCCCCTCTGGGTTTTCTTCTATTTTCTTACTAGTTCTTGTTCTTGTTTATTTCCTCTTATCTCCATGGGGAAGTGGAACAGTATTCTTCCTCCATAAGCCATGCATGCCATAAGAGGCGACTAAAATGCTGGGAACAAGGGGCTAGTAACCCCTTCTCCTGTATAAATTACTAAAGTTAAAAAGAGAAACTTTTGTTGTTGTTTATGGGCCAGCCAGCCTTGGTGGGATATGGCAGGTGCGTTGAAAGAAAGAAGTTGATGAGTGCTTGAACTGCTGACTTGAACAATATTTTATTATTGTGAATTGTGAATCATTTAAGCTTAATTCTAAGTAATGGAGAAGTTTGTATGTGGATGCAAGAGAAAAAATAGAGATAAAATGAAGCTACTGGTATTTGTACTGAAGATAGGCCAGACAGAGTAGCTCACATAAACAGAATATTTATAACAATACAACTCTGGGTATGTAAAAGGTGAAAATTAAAGGTGAATAAAGAAAAAACCAAGTGATCAAAGTAACAAAAAGTTTAAATAATGAAAACTTGAACATCAGACTGAAGGAGGAAAGTGAATCTATTAAGACATATCAGCAGGTGGGTCTATGAAAGATGGGTTCAACCATAGAAAAGATGAGGGGGAGAAAGATAGGCAGTGTGTTGAGGCATCTATGGAAAGAAAGTTTATCTATGGAGGCAAAAAAAAAAAAAAAAATGTACAAGAGTTTAATGTTACTAACACTTTCATATGGGTGTGAGTCATGGGTTTTGAATGTTGGAGCAACAAGGGGCCTAGAGATAGTGGAGATGTTATGCTTAAGAGCAAAGTGTGCCATAAATATCATATACAGAATTTGGAGCACATAAGTTAAAAGGTGATGTGGAGTAAACAAAGATATAATTAACCCTTACACTGACCAGGCTCTGAAATTAATACTGTTCCTAGTGTTCACTTTTTAAAAAAAAAATTCTTCTGAAATGGTAGAGAATCTTTTTCTAAAGGTAAGTAAGAAATTTGATGGAAAATTTAGGGAATTATGCAGGTGCAAAGTTAGCGATCTGCAAGCAATTTGTGCATCAGTGATTTTGCCCATTCTGAGTCCTATTTTAAATCAATTCTATTACTCAGGCAACTAAATTCTTAGCTATTTCTCTAGTATGACTTCCATCCTGTCAGCTGAGCAAAAGAAACTGCCCATTCAACTATTATAAGTACCTTATAAAGTGTACAGAAGTCAGTAATTTGGCCAAATTTACACAAAATTTGCAAAATACCAATTTAGAAATAAAAGTGCAAAATAACAATGAAGACATTCCTTGGACTAAAACAACATTTTCTCTTTTCATAAAGCATGTCCCCAGGCCTCTCCTACATTACATTTGCCTTCCATTTTGAATTCATAATCGCACAAAAACAGATTCACTCTATTTCCCAGATAATAAAATATAACCAGGCAAGATTTTTCATGGTTTACAGCATCTCAGTAATCGAATCAGACATATTAAAAACCCATAAAACAGACTGGGGGGTGCAGGGGGTTTTACCTACCCTTAGGAAAAATCAGCAAAAATAATTTTTGCTACTTTGAGTCCAATTTCAAGCTACTTCCGATCCTGAACTAACCAAAATCATCTCCATTTCAGTATTGGTCGGCCATCACTAATCCAGCATCATCGGGATCTGTAGGGTGCCGGATTAGTGATTTTGCTGGATTACAGATTGCTTAGGTTAGAATACACTTAACCCAAAGGCAATATTTACGCATTGGCGATTTCACCCATTTTACGCCCTATTTTTGGCCCATTCCATTGTTCTAGCCTACCAAACTCATAGCTATTTCTTTAGTATTCCTTCTATTCTGTTGACTGAGTACAAGAAACTGCCCATTCACCTATTTCAACTTCCCAATAAAGTGGTCAGAAATTGATAATTTGGCCAATTTCACACAAATTTCAAAAGATGCCAATTTCAAAAGAGGGTCCAGAATAAACAATACAGGCATTCCTAGCACTAAAGTAACATTTTCTCTGTTCATTAGTCATGTCTCCAGGCTCCTCTTATATTATGCTTGCTTTCCATTTTGAATTTTTTAGTCACAAAACAATAGAAGACATTATTGTAATAATTGCATAAATAATGTCATGATAGTAAATGCACACTGTAACCTTGCAAAGAAATTAAATCTTTATCTTTATCTTTCAGGGCAACCCATTAGTGACTGCGTATTAGACCAGCCAATTGGATGATGACATCATTTGTTTACTCTTGAACACTGGCAATTATTTTACATGATAGCAGGATTTTTGGTGTCTTCCATTTCATTCTCATAAACACACAGATGACAAAAAACATCTTGCTGCTTCTACTTACACTTAGTTCCTATCCACACATATGTACATGTACAGTGTGGT